TCGGCCTTGCAGAAGTGTTCCTTTGAAAGTGCTCTGGAATAAGAACAGGAAGGAAGGAAAAAATTGAAGTGGTCTTACTTTTTGCAAGTAATAATAAATTATTTGTATCTCAAAAGTCATAAAATGGGGATTGTGAACTGAGATATTTGGCAATGCGCTCCTTTGAAGGAAGTGTTGCCTATCCTAGCCTACTAAAGAATTCGCTTACGCATTGCCCAAAAACTAAATGTAAGTCAGTCTTAATAAATGGTCTCAAAAATTCAATAAACAGTTCAAGCATGTGATCCTTTCAGTAGTTAAATCCCAATCCTACTCAGTACTTTGTTTTGCTGTAATTGAAACTGATTCAACTCTAGAAATCATATCGCCGATATATTGCTCAGCCAAGTAAACCGGACGAATGTGTACGATTGTTCACCCTCCTCAAGACTAAGATATTTTGTAAGAAATCTCGTAAACCAGTTTGTAGCTAATTCATTCCAATTTTTTAGTAGTAGCACTAGTAGTAGAAGAAAGTCGCTGTTCCCATAATAACTATGTTTGTGCCGAAATATTCAGAATAATAATCAGAGATGTATAAATTGCACGGGGACTTTAAATCGTATTTGTATGCTTTGCTAAGTTAAATAAATATAATAATATTTTAAAACAGCGATGTTATAGGGAGCTACTTTTGCCTCAGGCTGTATATGAAGAATCGAAAACAAATGCAATTTAAAGTAAGTTTGAAATTTTAGCTTAACTTCATTTGCTCACTATATATTCTTAAATTTAGTTTTATGCTTCTTCTTGAGTTAAATGGTTATTTTTTTTTCTTCTGTTTTCTTAAGTCTGCATATGTGTGTTAATTTCACGTACACATATATACTTTCCCTTTCGTAAAGAGCCGGTTTAACTTGGGTTGCTTTCAAAAGTTTACTGTAGATTTGATGAAATACATTTAAAAATATATTCTTGTGCACAGTTAATGAATACGAACATATGTTTATGTATGTATATATGTAATAATGAATGCATGTAAATTAACGCAATAATGATTTGCTTTGCAAACATCTGTGAATCAAATTTAGTTTAAATTTTAACTTTAAAACTTTTGAAAATTGACTTTTTGCAGCATTTTTCTCTGTCTAATATATATATATATATATATATACATAAACAGCTAGAGTTATGGTCTTTAAATTGTTAAAGATTTGAAGAATCATTAGAGAATATATATATTTTTCCTTCGTTCTCTCTCTCTCTCTCTCTCTCTCTCTCGCTCGTTTACCTCGGTACCTTTAAAGCTGTCAACAGGCTTATGCCTACCTTAGTGTTAATTTTTTCAAGGTTAACATAACTTAAAAATTAACATCAAGGATCTTATAAATATTACATATATTTTCATTATTCAAAGATTTTTATTCGGTTTACTCAGAGATCCTTTCATCCGTCTAATATCTTTTTTTTTTTGTATATAACCAGCCCTTTAGGGGATGTTACCTATACACGCGAACACGATTTCGGTCAAGTGAGGTCATAGGTAGAGAAGGATTACGCGTTTACGTATGTTTTACTTAAAATTGGAAACATCAGGTAGAGTGAAAAAGACTTCTGGCTGTAGATTGTTCCAGCGGCACGCAGGGCAGTTAAAAGATGACGGGTTCGCGTTAGTCTGCCGTAAGATATACCTTTAATTGCAGAATTATTGGGTGGGAAAGGTGAGCAAGCCTGAAGAACTTAATCGGTGGGCTTATCTCTTCTATCTCTATAGAACTCTTGCCCTGGATATATATTTACATGAACGTCGCACAGCCCGCATGAGGCTGGTGCGCGAAAATATCGAGCATTTTGTCTATACAATCGCCACCTATGAGCACCTGAGCCCGTTTGCGCTCGTGTGTCTCTAACCAAGATTTGAAGACTATTGTCACAATTTGTACCCACCACTATAAAATTACTTCATAATAGATTTACATACATTTTCTGAATTGATAAATAAAAATATTACCAATCCTGTGTTCGGGAGAGGACGGTTTTGAGCTTCTCCCAAGTAAGGGTTTTCATAGAGAGTAAACTTTTATATGGCAACATTTTTGATATTTTGTGACGAACTTAGATAACGAATTGAATTAAGCTTTTTGACTTTAGCCGTTTATTAGTCGACTTTACTTGACTATTGCAGTTTAGCTGACTTTTGCACCAAAATGAAGGTTTGAAGAAAATAATTTACAAAAGAGAAAGAACACTATAGTGGATCACATTCCACCATTAATCCTCCTAGATCACCTTGATACAAAAATAACGTGTT